ATATATATATATATATAGCCTTAAAGGATAATGGTTATCCATTAATATATAAATAGACATGTGATCAATCTTCCTTTGATATAGAAAAACATCTTTCATATACATATTCTCTTTCATTATTTACTAGTTTTGGGGTGTTTTGTGGGCAACTTGGGTGAGATTAGTTCGTTAGAGAGAGATTCACGCCTACACCGTATCTTCTCTCGGATTGTTGTATCTTGGGAAAAGAACGTCAGAAAACTCTGTGCGGAGGGGACGTATCTCTTCTTAGGACAACGTTCATCTCGCACCTCAAACCAGGCTATTCTAAACTTATTTTTTATCTAAGTTCGATTGAGTTTATTTGATATATTTGCATGTTTATTTAATTTATGAATCTGTGTTTTTATGTTTAATTTTCTAACAATCTAAGAAGAGATAAAATTAAGTTTAGAATAACGTAGGCAAACTTGTTTTTTCTATTTGTTTATTCATTTCTCTTATTTGAAATATGAGCACTATTGAATGTAATTCTTGCAAACCTGAGAAGTTCAACGGTCAACACTTTAGAAGATGACAACAACAAATGAAATTATGGTTGACTACTTTGGGTTTAATTTCTGTGTTTGAAAAACCTACTCAACCTGAGGAAAATAAACATACNCGAAGATTATGGGTTTACACCTCACAGGGACGTCGCAATCCGATATGGACAGGAGACACCACCCTACACTGCACCGAAGATCATTTACACAACCACAAGGACCATGGGCAACTTCAGTTTAAGTTACAATCTGACATGGAAATTTCCTGTTGATTCTGGGTTTTATTATCTTCTCANTTAACAAAATCTGCTTCTGATATAGAAAAAGACTACCTGTGTTATGGCAGAATTCTTAGTGCACTTACTGAACCTATCTATGATATTTTTTGCACTACTAAATCAGCACTAGAACTTTGGGAAACTTTAGATAAAAAATATGGTACTGAAGATGCTGGACTAGAGNAAACATCAACAATCAAACGGCACAGAGAGGAGCAGATGTTATCCACTGGAGTGGTGGCACTAGAATCCCAGTGTTCAAAGACTACGTCATCATGGTCACCGACCCAGATGGTCGCCAGAGCAAGCAAGACTTGTGGCTCGCTATGTACCCTGAGCTCGACTTTAGACCTGAGTACGCTGATGCTATATTGAATGGTTTAGAAATCTTCAAATTGAGTGGAAAAGACGGCAGTCTCGCCGGGGCAAACCCTGAACTTGTACTCAGTCCACTGCCAGGACCACCCACCTTGTCACCGCAGAAGAAGAACAATAAAAAAACATCTAGTCTGCCGGTCATTATCGGCACCGTAGTCGGAGGAGGGTCTGTTCTAGTCTTCATCTTAGGTTTCTTGATTTTTCGACGACGGAGGAGAGTGAAAGCCTTGGGCTCAACACAGCCCAAGTCGTCGTGGGTCCCCTTNATCCACCTTGTCACCGCAGAAGAAGAACAATAAAAAAACATCTAGTTTGCCGGTCATTATCGGCACCGTAGTCGGAGGAGGGTCTGTTCTAGTCTTCATCTTAGGTTTCTTGATTTTTCGACGACGGAGGAGAGTGAAAGCCTTGGGCTCAACACAGCCCAAGTCGTCGTGGGTCCCCTTATCTGACGGTTCAAAGTCCACAAAAACCAGCGGTTCATCACTACCGTCTGATCTATGCAGACGCTTTTCACTTGAGGAGATCACATCAGCTACATGCAACTTCGATGACAATTTTGTCATCGGGGCAGGAGGATTTGGTAATGTGTATAAGGGCCACATCGACAACGGTGCAACCACCGTTGCGATCAAACGATTGAACCCATCATCAAATCAAGGGGCCCGCGAGTTCCAAACAGAGATTGGTATGCTATCGAAGTTACGCCACCTCCATCTGGTGTCGTTGATCGGTTATTGCAACGACAACCGTGAGATGATATTGATTTATGATTATATGGCCCGCGGGACCCTCCGTGATCATCTTTACAAATCAAAGAAACAACTCATTCCGTGGAAGCAACGCCTTTAGATTTGCATTGGCACTGCAAGGGGACTACATTATCTCCACACAGGTGCGAAACGCACGATCATTCACCGCGATGTGAAGTCCACCAATATTTTATTGGACGAGAAATGGGTGGCTAAGATTTCTGATTTTGGATTATCCAAACTGGGTCCCATAGATGCAGGCCATAACCACGTCAGCACAACGGTGAAGGGTAGTTTCGGATATTTGGATCCAGAATATTATAAACGATAACAATTGACAGAGAAATCGGACGTGTACTCATTTGGGGTGGTTTTATTTGAGGTTTTATGTGCTAGGCCGGCTATAATTCTAGATTTACCCGAGGATCAAGTGAATTTGGCTGAGTGGGCTCGCCATTGTTATAAAAATGGGACCCTTGATCAAATTGTTGACCCTAATATAAGGGAGGAGATTGCGCCAGAGTGCTTGAAGAAGTTTGGCGAATTAGGTGATAGTTGCTTGCGTGAAAATGGGTTCAAACGACCAGGAATAAATAATGTTTTGTGGGGCCTTGAGTTTTCTTTGCAACTTCAAGAGGAGGCTGAGATGAAGGGTCAAGGTGATGGTGGTGGTGGAGGTGGAGGTGGAGGTGGATTACTACCGGTAGCGTTGGCCAGTCCCTTGACTCCTCCTCTGCATGGAGAATCAATGACCGACAATGATGAAAATGTGTTAAGATCAATGACTAACAGTGACAAATTAAAAAATATGACTCTGTTCTCAGAGATCATGAATCCTATGGGTCGATGAGAAGTGAAATGTTCTTGGGGTGGGTCCTACGTGAGGTTCCAGATTTTTGGTCTTCACTTTGATTGACTTTTGAAAAGTAAGTATTTTATGCCATTTAGCTTATATTAGTGGTCTTCTTGTTTGAGTTATTTACCGCAATATAATTGTTTTTTAAACTTATTTATCTATACACAATACTTTTCAACTTATTTATTAAATTACGATATTGTTTAAAAAAGTGAGATTATTGATCTTGTTTCTAGTTGTAAAGTTGCAGTAGAGTTTTGAATTTGAACTTTTTATATTTTTTTATATATCTAAATATACACAGCGTGTACAGTCTAATTGTC